AAGATTCTTTATTTTCTCACGGTCTCGCCCTTAAATCATTCGTTCGGTGTTTTCGCAAAACGCGAGCGCGGTTCACCCTCGACCTATCATCCCTCTCTTTCGATTCGTAGTCACGACATCGACATCCGTTCCGTCGCGCTGGCTTCTTCGGCAGCGAACCTGCACGCTTTACGACAAAATACGATTTGCATAGCGGGGGTTCTTGGTACTGCCGATCGAAGATGAAAGGGAAATATTTTCGACGAAAGAAGGGAGAGAGTGAGAGAGGAAATTGAGGAGACTGCTCGGCCCTGGGAGCCGCGACAGTATCGCGAACACCGCAGCGTGCAGTTATACTTCGATTCAAAAGTGTAGGTGGATATACACGCTCGCGAGGTTGGGGTTGAAAGGCGCTCCGAGTAATTCGGGTTTCTACGGTTCCGCACGAGGAAACGCGCGTCCTCACGTCAACGCATGCACACGCGAGGGGAAAAGATTGGCATTGGCTTTCGATACGCTGTGTTGGTCGCGTGTACGGCAATAATGTTGCCTCGAAGTCTGCTCGTCAGACTCTACGCGTTGTATTCGAATGAAATGCTGAAAGGCTTCCGTATCTGTCATCCTGACCCTGCAGAGTGTGCATTTATTCCAACGTGGAGATTGATTATTTCCTTCTTTCTTTTTGTCTCACGACTCTTTACAAAATTACCGAAAAATTCGAGAAACTAAATAACCCAAAAAATATTTCGTCGACCATCGAATCGTATTGCTGCACAGAGTGCAATTAACGACGAGTATTTCAACAGAGTCGTCGGCAGTTTCTTCATCAAATAGATACTGAAAGTTCCAATCTCGGCGGGCTGGTGACGATGGCGATTTACGCGCGCGATATGATATATACGATTAAATTGCATCTACACCGCGCTCTCACAGCCGCTCGACAAGTGCGAAACGCGCGAGGAAGCACGGCGCATTGACACATACAAATCGTATAATAATTTGATCGAGCCAACGTGAGCCGCAGGCCGCAGCGGGCTCCTTAATTCGTCGATGCTCGGATTACGGTTAGCCGGAAAATGCTTTCACGGGGGTGGAAGTGATTTATTCGTCGCGAGCGGTTTGTCGAACGGCTCGTCGGGCGGAAGTGCCGTGGAATTTATGGACGGGGGGACTTCCGACTAGATTTTATCGTTTATCAATAACGTCCGAATAAAAGTAATGCCGCCGCGTATAGCCGCGGGGAAAGGAAATCCCGGCGGCCGTAGGCTTGGCCCGACGACAAATGGATATTCCGTAGACCGTATTATGAAGTCGGCCGCGGATTCGATGTAGTCCATTTCTCCGGATCTTCGCCCTTGCCTCGTACAGTACGGAGATAGGGCTCTCTTTCTCTGCCTCTCTCGCCCCCGTTTCGGCAGACGATTTAACGTTCTGCGACGGACGTTTCTCTTCACGGAGAAATAATACGAACAATGTTATTGATAAAAAAAAAGAAAGAAAGAAAGAAAGAAAGAAAATAAATAAACACTGCTTCGAAGAAGAAGCAATGTTTCTACGTGCAATTTATTTATCGTGTTTTGTTTCGAGGCCAATGCGGGCATTTTGGCAATAGTGGTTATTTGAAGGGCCCGAATTTAATCCGGAATATTTGGACCGTTAATTAAAACGCTCCTTTTAAGCGACACATCATTTAAGCCGTACTTTCGGCGTAAAATTTGTATTATTAATAATTGTACCGCAACACTTTTCCACCGCTATTCGATATCGGTTGGAGATGATTCCATTAAGGTCGATGCCGCTCGAAGCGGGTCCGATTATCGGCCGGCCGATCTGCTTGTTATAGATTTGCCATCGCCCTGTCCAGCGGAGCTTTATAATCCGTATAATGCGCGCTACAATGGGAATTAATGTCCCCGCGTGGCCCGATAAAATCTCGCGCACCGTGCATATAAGTATTTTATGTATATTCATTCGGCTTGTGCGTTGCGTCGTCGGACGAAATCAAGACGTGATTTATGAGTTACCGCCATCTGGATGCAGCGACTCTGGCCGACTACAGAAATCGCCGTGCGGAACGAAAAAGAAAGAAAAAGGAAGGAACAACAAAGAGTCGAGAAAAAAGAAAGACATTTAAACGCTCCCTTGTTCGCGCTTTACGATCGCTACCTCCCGCGCCGTAGAATTATTACAGACTTTAATCTGATTTTACGAGAGGCATCTGAATAATGCGGCGAGAGCTCGAGCGATTCGGCCGGCCACGTTTCGAGCGTATTACGCGCCGCGCATGTAAATACTTCGCGTTCAATTTCGCGCAGTAGGCAAATTAATAGATGATCAGCCGATTGTTTGGACAGGTAGGTACGCGTCCGATCGCAATAGCGTGCGATCGCCCCGCGAAATTCAGCGGAGCATCGCGTTCGATTGTTGTGCCTTGAATGCTACGAGTTAATTAACTATTGTAACTTCACCCTGGTAAACAGCGCTGCCGAACATTTGTGATTCATTATACGCGCGGGGGTGAATTCGCGCACGGTCCCTTTTACGATTCATATTCGCGAATAATACTGCGATCAGATTAGTCTTGTAAGTTTAGTCAGTTTTGCATTTACTAGTTCCAATTTAAAATCGAATTTTATGTTAAATAGTCAGCTCGCGTGTAGCCATGCGATTAATTTCATCGTAGAGTAAGAATCTATTTTTGAATATTGAATATACTTGACGGAAAGATCCCTTTCAGATTACGTAGATAAGAATTTAAGTAAATTAATAAACAATATATAGATAAAAGTACATAAATAATGTAGAGAAGTGACACAAATTACCTAAAAAGTAAATATATTAGAGCGTTGATTAGAGCGAAAAAAAATACTTATTGTTACTACAAGAAATATTGTTCCCATTTTAACTATATCGACATTTTTGAGTTTGTCATCGACTCCAACTTAATCTTGCAAATTCCGTCCAATTTAAAGAACCAATGAAAAATATCGAAATATAACAGTATAGAGATCATACTTTGATATTGCGAAAAGTTACGATAAATATGCTGTTTAGGACTCACCTCTGATAACTAAACAGCATATTTACCAAAGTTCCTAACGCTTTTCTCATCTTGAGTCGGTAAATGTTGATAAAAACTTAAACCTCATAAATGACTTTGATCCAGATATATGTTGTAGAAGTAACGAACATCTTTCGGTTGTGTTTTAATCGGCGGGCTTGTACCTTTCGAGTTATATTTGTGTAAATTTGAAGAATTTTCGTCTACATGTTTGTGACATATAATATTGAAGAATTCGTTAATAATATAGCACAGATATATATATATATATATATATATATATATATATATATATATATATATATATATATATATAATTCGATTTCTTTTTAATTTGGCACAAATGTAGAAGTACAAAAAATATTTAGGTCATATTTTTTTATTTTAACCCACTTTGAGTTTATAGCAGTTTATAGCTTTTTAATGTTCTCACTCCTATCACCAACAAATACAACAAAAATGTATAAGAAATAAAATTGAATACAAGATATAGTTGAATAATTTTAACAAAATTGGCATAGCTGAGACACGAACCATTATAAATTTCTTTAGTCGAGATTCCAGCCAAAATATTTTAAATCTGGGCTAAATTAGCAAAAATGGTTCGAATCTCGGCCAAACCGAAAAATTATTTGCATAAATAATTTTTTCAACTTTTTACATGTCAATTTTGTTAAAATTTTAATTAAAACTGCCGGATTTCTCTCGGTTTAGCCGAGATTTGAACTATTTCTTACTAATTTAGCACAGATTTAAAATATTTCGGTTGGAATCTTGGCTAAAGAAATTTATAATGATTCGTGTCTCAGCTATGCCGATTTAGTTAACATTATTTAACTATATCTTGTATTAAATTTTATTTCTTATGCATTTTTGTTGCACTTGTTGATGATAGGAGAAAGAATATTAAAAAGCTATAAACTGCTCGTGAAATTCAAAGTTAATCAAAATGAAAAAATATGACCTAAATATTTTATGTACTTCTACATTTGTGCCAAATTAGGAAGAAATTGGAATTAACATTTAGGTAGGTTTATTTGTTAGAAACTATAAAATGTTTATATTTTTTGTTTGTGTTTTCACTATCAAAGAAAGACTATATTATATATAATTGACAGATTACTCCATATTTAAACGAATAAAGATATTAATAAAAATGGCTCTGAAATACAGTAATAAAGTTTTGGCCAAATAAGCGCTATTTATGTATTAGACCACATACTTTTTAAATGATTCACGCGCATACAAGTCCTCGATAATTGCTCTCACTCTCTAACCGTGATTTTTTTCCACAATATATTAATTCTTACAAATTGAATACGACGTTGTAAATATTATATCTTTATGATAACTTTTAAAGTAATATATAAAGTAATATATAAAGTACCTACAATAACTTTGGGGATATTTCTTAAGTGAATTTAATTTCAAATTTACACATATATGTACCGAAAATAATACAAAACAGCCGATCAAAACACAAAGAAAAGTTGTTCTTTATCTCTACAATATACATCAAGTTCATCCGCAAGATTAAAGTTTGTCAACAATTATCTTTATTTTTAATCAGCAATTTATTATGTAATTTACTCTCTTTCAAATATTTGTAAAGTTAATTTGTCAAATGATGATAGATTATAAAAACTAAACCTAATCCAATCTCAACTCGGATACCTTACTCTCGACGAGTTCGTCAAACATCCGTTAAAATCAATAATCTTACACATAATAATATTGTTTAATAAGGTGACCAGGTGTTCTAATTTTTTCGAGATAGTCTCAATTTTTCACCCTTTGTCCCGAATTTTTCCGAGTGCTATTCGGGACACCGATTTGTCATAATTTTTAATGATTATCAAATAATTTTCGGATCATTTTAACCCCCTCCTCCCGCTTCACACACTTATGAAGTGTCCCGAATTCAGGGTTGGGAAATCTAGTCACCTTATATTTGACATACTTGAAAATGAACGATGTAATGCTACTTGCTTCCCAGTAACTTGCATCCTGCATCCTGACTCCCGGTTACTCCGTTGTGGCATTCTCTGAATACTCATTCGTCGCACTGACACTCGCGTATATACAACTCGATCGGAGAAACACATGTTAATCGACGAGATGCCGACAAAAGTCCAATTGAATATTTCAAGAGTCGCGACGAAATATTTTAACCTCACGACGGGAATGAAAACTATCGCACCGATACCGCTGCGCGGTATGTGTATCGTACCGCGGCTCAACGTATAATGGAAACACTCGGAAAAACACGCTACGTACATACGAAGATAAGCTCTTAATCTCGTCTACGGAATGTTTTGAAAATGTTGATTGTTGTGGCCTCTAATCGTTGAACGGACGAGCGGTGACTGTTGCGACCCGCGCGACGCGTCTTTCTCCGTGAACGAAGTCTCACTATCTCTTTCTCTCTCTCTCTCTCTCTCTTTCTTTCTATGAGTGACTGCGGCGTGTCTCCAAGACGAATTCCCCAACGCCAAATCCCCTAATCCCCGTGATCGGAATCGCGACATCAGAAATATAGACGTTCGATTGTCAGCATGTAAATCGATTCTCGACTCGAAACAACTATAATCGATTTGCTGAAGACATCGGACTTAAAAAATCAATTTCAAGAAAACTGATACAAGCCGGCTTATCAGACGAAGACATCTCCAAATAATATCGTCCCTTCCGTCTTACTGACGTACATTAAATGTACTTTAGGTTAGATTAGGTTAGATTAGGCACAAGAAAGACAAGCAATATTATTTACATACTTCTCTCGCGACCCGAAGTTATTGAGTACAAATAACGACAGTGTTTGTTTTAGTTGGACGTATCGTTTAGTGTTTCTACATCATTACTATCGATTCGACAGTGTCGAATCGTCTGTATCGAAATCGACTTTCTCGATTCAGAATCGATTTTTAGTCACACAAGCCGATGAGTGGCAAACATGACGGGCGCGGAGTACGCGTACTAGCGCGTTATTCAGGATCGGTGTCGCGTAATTAAAGTATTTCGCCGGTTTTTGAGGTGTTTAATCAAGCTCTCGTCGGCATCGAGTTTCATCGCTCGAATCATATTTACGCTAGCGCTACGAACAAATATTCAGAGTGCGACAGAAAAGACAGAAAAGACAGAGCTGGATTGAAAAGTCAGGACGGAGAACGCAGCATGTCGAGACGTAGGCAGCGATACATCGCACACATTTTCCGGGTGCGTCAAGCCACGTATTATTACCAAAAGTTTACAACTTTGACGAATGTTTGAGGAATTCGCGAGAAGATACTCGAGTCGAAATTTTGATCAGCATTTCGTTACTCGTGTTACATTTTGTGACGGAGTCGTTACTCAACAAACAATTATCTTAGGCCGCTAGTGTAGTAGTTCCATCTTGTTGGTATCAGCCAACTTGTCTTCTTGTCATGCTTTGTGCTTCACATTGGTGTTCCACTTTGAACGGAGTTTGCAGGGTTAGCGTAGAAGGAAAATTTCGCCTCGGGAAAGTTCTTCGACTGGAAAATGTCGCAATGACATTTACCCCCGTTTCGTACTAACGCTCGATGACGTATAGGCCACTTACCTGAAACAAGAAAGAAAGAAAATTTGGCGTGCGAGAAATAAAGGTGTATATAAGAGTACATACATATTTCGCCGTTCCTAGTTCTCGTATAATGTCGCCGAGAAATTAATGGCTCGGTTCAAAGGGTGGAAAGAGAAAAAGAGTTCTCCGACCTGAATCTGCGCGGGCCATAATTACTTCGAGTAAATCATTCGGCGGACGACGTTGATTTCTCGCTGACCTAATGTCTCGAAAGAAACCAGTAGCCGGTCCAGGCTACGCGTCTCTCGCCACTGTTGCGTTGCTACGCGCGCTACGCAATTTGTCCCTATTACGTTGCGCACTCTTGTGTTGGAAGGTATCATTCGCCGCGTCTACTTAGAGGTAACACACGGCGCGATAACGACAGTGAAAGAGGGCAGGAGGAAGAGACGCCTATGCACGAGACCGTACGTCGGAAATCGTTGAATTATTTAACACAGAAGAGACATCGATCATCGCGGTCACGCGATACGTCCGCTTGGCGTAGCCGAGGTCTACGTAAAGTTTAATCCAGGTGACTTGACCCCGTGTCAAATCGTCGTTCTCGATTATCGCGAACGTTCACCGCCGCGCCGTTACGGGTATCATACGAGTCCGCGAGAAAATGACCTTAAAGAACGTAACGCGCGACGCACAGAGCGTACCTTCACAGCTCGATTATCGGCAAGCTTAAAGCCATCACTCCGTCTCAGGCGCAAATGCGAAAGGCCCGAGGACGACAGGTAAACGCGTTATCGCGTAATTATTTTAACGCTACGTTGGACACATCCTTGCCTTTCTGATTAATTTCACGGAAGAGCGGATAGATGCAAAATTACATGTTGTTCCAGCCGCATAATACTCAAATGATATACATGCTGGCTCGGGCCCCGCTACCGATGTGCAACAACGCCGAGACAGTTTCTGCTTTTCATAAATTATCGCGAAATGATCCCTCGCGTTGTCAGCGTCGGATACGGGCGCGAATATACGCGATGTACGAGTACCTCGGCTCTACAATCGGAAAAATATTATTGCGCGGATAAATCACGGTCGCGAACGAGGGAGGGCTGTGTGTACTTGGGACTTGGTGAGCTTGATTACTACCCGTCGCGAGATGGGTCGGAGAGTTTTACAACGGCAATGAACGTGTGAGAATTTCTGGTCGGTGCGCCACGGTTATTTGCCTTCGGTACGCGTGGAAAACCGTTTTAATAGAGGCAGGCACTCCGATCGGCACGACGTAAATCTCACACGTTACGTACTACTCGTGCCATCCTCGCGCTCCTCACTCTCTCTCTCTTTCTCTCTCTCTCTCTCTCTCTCTCTCTCTCTCTCTCTCTGTCCCCTGTATTAGTGTGCGTGCGAGCACAAAAAAATTTATTCGGAAACAACAAATTTGTTTCAACTAACGGATCTCTGATAATGGAACACGAAAAATGGTGCACACGAGTAAATATTACTCTGGTCTATAAAATTTTGCTAAAACATCGGTAAGGTTACCGATTGCACATATGGAAGATGCTCTGTGAAATATGTCTCGCGATACCCGTTACACTTGCATTATCAAGCATGGATTCACATAACACGGAGTGGCCAGCGACTCCGCACGATATCAGCGAGAATCGATAAAGCAGCGACTATTTCGCGCGTTGCGAATTCACGATATACATCGTGAACGAGAGGTCATCGCGCAGCGTATAATACGAGATGAAAAATAAACGAGCAATCATACGATCTCGCTGGTGCAATCTGTAAAGGCTTAATTACACCTTCCATCTCGCGTCAATAGCGTTCAACGTCGACTTACGAACCAGTCTTGTAACGGGGCGCGTATCTCTCTCCCTCTCTCGCACACTCCCAGTCCCTCCCCGCCTACGATAAATCCGAGATAACGTATATCTGAAACGTTCAATTATCAATTACCCGACGTATCCCGCCATGCCGGCGGAGCATTTAGATATGGCTCGTTACGCCACATGACGGAAACACCAGGAGCAACGTGCTCGTGCCGTACAACAAGCAATTTTCATGCCGGCGAAACGCGGTAGCCGCGTTCGTTATGCTCGTGTATCCGAGGCTACGTGTGTGTCTACACGGCTGACCGTCGAGCTCGAAAGAGCGACTCTCCTCGAGGCCGATCGACCGGCTAGAAAGTAAGATTACACGGTCGCACTTGCGACGAGCGACCTGTGCGCGCAGCATTGTGCCAGACGGCGCGTCGTGCAGCCGCTTCCCTTTCTCTCTCTCTCTCTCTTTCTCTCCCCCTTTTTTTATTTCTTTTTTTCCAAAGCGAATGCTGTAGCGCTGCAGCAAATCTGTTGTTTTATTTTACACTTTACGTTCGCTGCATGTTCCGCCGCGCCGTAACGTTACTTCGCGCTCACTGCAGAGTCGGTGCTGCGATTGGTTTAGGTGTTTCTTTGAAGTTCGATCCGCTCTTTCCGGATAGAGTACGGGAGAATGTCTAGGAAAGAGAGTAGAGGAACGTAGGGAGAAGTAGACACTCTATTCGTCGTCGAGAAATCAATACGAGAGGAGAAATGTCGGACGATGTGAGCGCGGCGCGAGTAAATCCGCGAGCGCGCAAAAATGTCAACGTCGTTGGATCGTGGAGAGCTGGCAACGAGAAAAGCTCGGTGCGACCAGCGGCATAAAAAAATTGTGCGATAACGCGTACGTAAGGTATCTTCTTAAAGGCTCTCGTAAAAGTGTTGTATCGCTTTTCCCTGAACGTTATCAACCGGTGGGTTCGAGGCTTCCTCCGTCCTCTGGCTTTATTCGACGTTTATCATGCGTTTGCGAGTTACACGGTAAAGACGTCAATTTCCGCATCTCCCGCTCCTACATGTGCGACCGCGCACTTCGCATTCGACCGATGCGCGACAAACTCCGGTCCAGCACTCCATTTGCATTCTAGACAAATCCAATTTCCTAGGAACAAAGCTGACGTGCCAAAGAGGGCAGCCGTGGCGGGTCAATTTTCTCTCCCGCAAGAGCGTTGTCGGTAATTGTTCGAGTCACGCAGACTACGTGATTATTGGAGTAAGTATATCGAAGTCCCTACGGCAAAAATTACACGGAAGCACGAGCGATAGCAAGCTACACGCGCCGATCAAAGGCAGAAGTTGTTAAACGGTCGCGCGAATCTTTTGACGATCGAGCCGTAATGGAGCCACGTTAACGCATTCGCAACTCGTCCGCGGATTGTGAACGCGACGTTTATTTTCGTCTACTTTAGATTACACCCATTACACCTATTCCGCGTTGACCAACCACCCAAATTTATCTCTAATGGTGCAATTCAGTGTTTATCTCGTAGAAGGAAGGCTCAAAGCAGTGTACAGCAATTCATACTCCGATTAATCCTAGCCGTGAGCGTTCGATCGTTGGTAATTCATTTCGATGAGCAGGAATACGATGACCGCGTAAATTTTGGCACGCCTACCACGGTGTGATACGTCATTATTTCTAATTGTCTCCCTCTCTCTCGCAGGTGTACGCGCTATTGCGCTTGCAATTATCTTTCCACGGCATTTGTATGGAAGAGACAGCGCGATTCGCTGCCTCTTCCAGATGTGATTTGAATATCGAAGTTGAAATATCGTTGAGTATTCTCCTCCAGCTAGGTAATCATCACACGCCATAATGTCACGTGTGCCCGGCAGATCCTTCCAACGATGTAAATCGGCCGAATGCGATCTCACCGAGACAGTGGGACATGAATTTATCGCCGTGAAACGAAAGTGTCGATTGTCGATAGGCAAGCGTGAACAAACGAGCGACGGCTTGTTTACAAACGAGGTTGCAAATTGCTTCAACCAACCACTCGGTTACGCGGGAAACGGCCTGCTGATGTTTGCAGATAACTGTACGGTTGTTTCACCGCGTTGCTCGAAAACATTACGGCGTGTTCATCGATTTTCGCACCAACGGATGTTAATGTTACGTTTGAGCCGCATTTGTAACCAGCGCGTGCCAGAGTCGTGTGTATTCGGTTAAAAGGCCTTCTATCATTATCTCGGCAGGAAGCACGTCAAATGTTATTAGAAAACAATGACGAGAGTTGCGATATTTCAGCTTGAATGATCAAGTAAGAAGTACAAATAAATAGTAAGTGAAATATCGACAGTTGGCACTGTTTTTCCGACATTGCTGACGCGACGTCGCCGACTGCGCGATGCGCGTGATCCTATATTTTAATCAGTAACGCACATATTTTTTTTATTGCGCAGCTAAAAATAATAAATACACACAAATGGTAAACACGGAGAAGCACGGTTATGTTAAAGTAAGTACAATCGTAAATAAAGCGAGACATCCGATATTGATGCGACACATTTTGCGACATATTTTACTCGGCAGGCAACGTATTAACGTCCGCGTTCATGATTAATCTCTCTTTTAAAAAAAATGATGCATTTTCAGCGGTGCCATTGCAAACAACATAAGAAGATCGGGTGAAAATTTGCATATAAATTACTACCGACTGCAAAATGTTCACGTTTGTGACGTATTACTCGAAAGTTTTTAAGAAATGTGATTGCTGTATATTCCACGAGTTCGCCCGCACAATACGCATGTTAATGTAATGACGAAATGAATAGTGTCGTTTCTAGCTAATGGTAGAAAATAATAACGGTCGAGCCATGTCCTGACTTGAAAACTCTTACGTGCTGTTATCGCAAACTTTCTCCCATCCCGCGTTGCCATCCTCTCCAAGTTATATATCTTAGGTGTCGACGGACACGCGATGAGTCTCTCCCACACGAGAAACTCGGGAAACAAAGTTCTTTGACTTGCGAAAATTTAAAGAGGAAGACTTTTATACGGTCTGACTTTTGTGCCCGCCTGAGCTCTGCGCCTGTTGCGGCAATTTCGACCTCTTTAAGAAAATGCGTTTTCTCGTTTATTCAAGACGATTCTCAAGACTGCTGATACATTAATAATTTACGTGAATAATGACGGGGATTGCTCTCTCTTTTCATAAATG